TAATAATAATAATAATAATAATAATAATAATAATAATAATAATAATAATAATAATACAGCTGTGGCAAAAGAAAGGGAAGATGCTCCTTGAAAACAATCCTAAAACAGCACATTGTCGGCACTGACAAAAATCACTATCAGTCAATTGCAAAAGGCAGCTTTACTTAGAACAGCTGACATCCTGTGACAAGACCTTTAACTGCATCACACATCCACATCAGCCTATCCCAGGTCCTTGGGATAAAAATACCCAACCCAGTCTAAACATCTGCGTGACTGTGCAATGAACCACGATAATAAATCCAACATAATTTATAAAATTATCATAGAAACCATAACCACATAAAACCAGAGTGGTCATATTCATCCCCAGTGCATTTGAGCCTCCGTCCTGAAATACAAATGCAAATGGTTTTTTTAAAAAAAAGTTTCCTGAATTTTTAAAAATACAGTTGCGGTGCTTGGTAGGATACTCTGGATCAGAGTTTCTTCAGCTTGGCAACTTTAAGATGTATGGACTTCCAACTCCCAGAATTCTTCAGCCAGATAGGAAACCAGTTGGAAGTTGCCCAAGATGGAGAAATACTGTCCCGGAATGGCTTGTCAATTTCAAAAACGTGTCAGTTCTCAGAGAAGCCAAGCTAATCAATTTCAGAATCCCTTCAGTATATGAGTAGTTCTTGACTTACAACCACCATTGAGCCGCTCCAATAGTTCTCTGGCTAAAGCAAGAGATGTTCGTTGAGTGAGTTTTGCTCCGTTTTGCGACTTTCCTTGCCACCACCGTTAATAATTGAATCCCTGCACTTTCTTCAATGAGCAACACGGTCGTTTTAGCGAATCTGGCTTCCCCCCAATTGACTTCACTTGTGAGAAGGTTGCAAAAGGGGACCCTGGGACACAACAACGGTCATAAGATAGGAAGCCCCTGAATTTGGATCCCATGTTCACAGGGGCATGCTGCGGAGGTCATAATTCTGAAAAACGGTCATTAAGTCCAGTGGTGGGATTAAAAAAAATGTCACTACTGGTTCTGAGGGCGTGGCTTGGTGGGCATGGCCATGTGACTGGGTGGGTGTGGCTTATTCTTTTTTCTTTTGCTTTTTTGCAGCCCCCACCCATTTGGGGGGCCTTCTGGGCCTCAGAGGAGCCTCTAGGGGAGGCGTTTTTGCTCCCCTAAGGCTCTGAGGCTCAGGAAGGGGAAAAAAAGCATGGGCGGGGCATGCAACACAGGTGATCTATGCACAGCTGATCTATGCACAGCTGATTGTTGGGAGGGGAAAAAAGAAATACCTTAGGTGAACATCAGGTGGGCAGGGTGAGTGAGCATCGGGCAGGAGGGCGACTGGGTCAGGGGCGTGGCCAACCAGAACTTACTACCACTTCGGTGACCCATGCCAAATCCTTGCTACCGGTTCACGCGATCCGGTGCGAACCGGCTGAATACCACCACTGGTTAAGCCCCACTGCTCAGTGCTGTCTTTGAACAGTCACTGAACGAACTGTTGTAAGTCAACCTGTAGTTGCACAGCGGACGGAAGGCTCCCGTCAGTAGAGCTGATAACACCAGTAAAATATATTCTATTCAACAGAGCATGGAAACAATAATTGCTCCAAAGTGCTACCAGCCGGAGAAATGAACAGATGCTGGAGGGAAGCAAGGACTGGTGGGAACAATGGTTGTATGTTCCGTGAGGGTAGCAGTTGTTGCATTGTCGGTGCAGATGTGGCCCAGCCTTCTCCCTTTAGCGTTCACACGCTGTCACTTTCATCCTCTGTGGGAGCCGGGTGGGAGGCACGCTGGAGGTGATCCACGGCTGGCCACGGTGGGATTGTCTGAATGGAGCCCTGGTGCTTATGGGAACAGACAGCAGCTGTTCCTTGTTCTTCCTCTTCATGGGAGAAGGAGAAGGATTATTGCCTTTGGTCTCAAATTGCAAAGCCCAAGTGTTAAATCCTTGCAGACAAGAACACCTGCCTGCACTATAGTGGGAAGCTGCTGGTGCGTATTTTGAAGCTGCTCCGAGAGAGAAAGCAATGTTCGCTTGCGGTAGGAAAGAACAGTGGAATAATAAAAATAATTAAAACTGACAAGCGTTGTGCAGAGCAAATGGGATCCTTCTCAGATCAGAGACGGTTGGAACAGGAGGTCTTAACTCATCTGTATACTCTCTGGCTGGGCTAAAGGATCTCAGAGCTGGATTCCAAGGAAAGGAAAGGAACAGGAAAGAAAGGAAAGGAAAAGAAAAGAAAGGAAAAGAAAGATTAGGAGTGACATGATAGCAGTATTTCAGTATTTGAGGGGCTGCCACTAAGAAGAGGGGGTCAAATTATTCTCCAAAGCACCGGAGGGCAGGACAAGAAACAATGGATGGAAAGTAATCAAAGAGAAAAGCAACTAGAATTAAGGACAACCTTCCTAACAGGGAGGACAATTAACCAGTGGAACAGCTTGCCACCAGAAATCATGGGGACTCCATCACTGGAGTTTTTTAAGAAGACACTGGACAGTCACTTGTCTGAGATTGTATAGGTTCTCCTGCTTGAGCAGGGGGCTGGACTAGAAGACCTCCAAGGTCCCTTCCATCTCTATTCTAAAATTCTATTCATACAACATGCTTACAAATACATACAACCCAGGCTTCCAAATGCAAAGATTAAACCACCACAGTCTTTAAGTTGCACAACATGCTGAAAAAAGGGGATGAGTTTCCCCCACAATGCAGACCCCCCAAGGGGGAGGGAGGGAGGGAGAGAGAGAGGGAGAGGGAGAGAGAGAGAGAGATTTCAACTGATCTTAGCTTGATGCCAGCCTAGACCATAAGAATAATCTCCTTTTTGTTGTCACAACAACCCATTAAAATGATGTAATGGGATCAGACATGGAAGAATAATTGATTACAGTTGGGCAATGTAATTGTGCAAATTTCCAGAGCTCTAAAAGGCATTTAAGTGTAGAATGTTTCAGTGGTACAAATCATTCTCCATAACAACCAATATCCCTGCTTATTTAAATCTACACTACCCTGACGACATAATTCACAAGGAAAGTATTTTCATGTTTATGGCTCTGCCCAGCAGCGCTGCACCCATCAAGGAAGCCAGGAAGCCATAGGAGACAAAACATGGTCACCAAGCTCAAACTCAGTTGCCACCTTCCCTGACAGACCAAAGCACAGGATTGCCATATAACTCGGTGGCATCTCCACAGCTTCTCTTGAGAATGGACCCCAATCTGTCATTTTTAACATGGAAGACCCAAAAGGAGAAAATGTTAAATTCTAGAGATAATCTAAATCTGGAGATGTGATGGTTAGAAGGAATAACAGGGAGGAACGAGAAGAAGAGTTGTAACCAAGACAACAATCAGATAAAAGAAATTTGAGGCTAGGGCAGAAATGTAATTTGAGAAAGCGTCTCAGACAAAAACCTTCCTTAATTCGCATGAAGATAAGGGGTGGGGGCGGTGAAGCACATTGAGACTTGCAAGATTCTGTGCCTGTGATTTTACAATAAACAGTAGTACCGTAGAGGCCTGCATGGCTTTGACTTTCTAGTCGGGTCTGTCGTGAAGGACTGATATGAATTCTGATGACCCAAAGGGGCGTGGCACAAAGGCAACACAGTCAGATAATCGATAAGAGTCCCTTTATTATCTTCAACTTTGCCCCCAATGTCCAGGTTAGCCTCTGGGCTGGAGAAAAACTCTCCCAGGAACAGCCTTTGGCTGCAGAGAATTAAGTCCAAAACATGGTCAACACAAACTGTAACTATAAGTCCAATCAAGCCAAAATGAGGTTATTAGTCTGGCAGGGCAGGAGCAAGAATTCCAGAAGTGAAGAAATGGCAGGTTGGGAGGATGCCAGGAACGCAAATAACCAAAGTCAATACAAGATAAACTCACTTTTGTTCCCAGTAGACGCCGCACTCAGCCTGCATCTCTTTTAAACTCTCATTCCCAGGTGTGGCCAATGAAGGGAATCAGGGCCCTTTCCTCCCCTGTAAGCCATGCAATCCACGTTGCTCTCTGCATGCCCTAGGATGAAGAGGGGGTGGGCCTGGGTCTTCTTGTGAACTCCCTCTCCCTTGTTCTCCCTGCTCTGCCCAGCCGGACTTTGCCCTTCCCCAGTTTCCTCCACAGCCAATGGAGCCACACTCCCACTCTCTGTCAGCTTTTTGTCTTCCTCCTCGGATTTTAGACTGGGGGGGGGGGGGGGCATGACATGAATCAACATGACATTCCATTAATGGTCTAAATTTAAGTGAAAATAATGTTATGTCACAGCCAAGGTGTGTAGTCCCTGAACAATCCTTTTCAAGGACCAAGCTCTTAGACCCTCAAACTTCATCACTGGAAGTTTTTAAGAAGACACTTTGCAGTCACTTGTCTGAGATTGTATAGGTTCTCCTGCTTGAGCAGGGGGCTGGACTAGAAGACCTCCAAGGTCCCTTCCAGCTCTATTCTAACTTCTAAATCTTACTCCTTTCAAACAGATTCTTAGCCAAACCTGGTATTCTCAGGAAAAGAAGCTTTACTGCTACCTACCATTTCTCCAGATTAGATCCACTTGATTTTTAAAAAATTGTAATTTTACACTGAAGTATGAACTACAGACCTTCTTGAGGTCTGTTGATCTTGCCTTGGACTCTATTCTATTATTTGTTTTATGAAACAATTTCTAGACCTTAAAACATGGGTCCCCAACCGCCGGGCCTTGGTTCATTCGGAACCAGATCACGCAAGTGGTGAGTGCCCGCTGTTTGTGCCAATGGAGCTGCTCACACTCGTGTGCGTGCCTGCTACTCACACAGAATTATCCCCTCCCCTCCCCTACTGGGCCGCCAAGCCAGAACATTTGGGAACCACCGCCTTAAAGGCGTTCAGCAATTTTTCCCAAGTTACCCTCTTCCAGATGAGTTGGACTTCAGATCTCATCATCCTCAGTTGGTATCACCAAAGGAAAGGCAGGTGTTTGGCTGTACTTACATAAGATATTTTGGAGCCCAGCGAACTAAAAAAAACACACAATGTCGTTGCTTTTAAATAATGAACGCCTGTTTCTATAAGTTCTTTGCAAAGTTTCGAATCCTGGGTACAAGGAAGGCTTGTTTCATTGCAGCTCAGGGGATTTTTTTAAAAAAAGGAAAGGACAGGGAAGTCTGAGTGTGCCTGCTGTCACATGTCCATCATGAACAAAAACAAGGCGCCTTAGTTGAGCTAAAGACTTCCTTTGTTTGGTTTCAGTTTTTCAATCGTATTTTCAGGACTTCTCGTGCATGCTGAAGTTTGAAATCTTTTTAATGTTGATAGAATTAACCCCAGTCCATTCTTTTGTCTCATACTTGACTCCTCCACAGGGACCAAGTTCATTTCCAAGAACATCACCGCCATGGTTGGGATGGACCTGGTGCTACCTTGCCAGCTCACCTCCAACCTCGCTAAGGCCTTGTGGACCTTCAATGGGCGGGATTTGGCAGAAAGCCAAGCTTCGGTTGTCTACGATGCTCATCTTCAGGCACTGATTGTCCTGGACATCCGCCTGAAGCATTCTGGGCTGTATAAGTGCATCCAGCTAGAAGAGATGAATGAACTGATGACTGAGAGTTACCAGGTCACTGTGTTGGCTGACCCCGCCCTGTCACTGGAGACCCGGGCTCCCTTGGACAACCTGGGCCTGGTTTGGGTGGTGGTGATTGCTCTCTCGGCCATCTGTGTGGTTCTCCTGCTTGTGGTCTTCTCCCTGAAGCGCAGGCTGAAAGAAGAGCGCGAGAAAGGCTCCAAGGCCATTGAAAGCACCCTTGTCTACCCCATCGAGATGCCCAAAGAGCCCAAGAGCCCCACTTTTATTCCCAGCACCACCTCAGACTCTGACGAGAAGCTCTGGGACCCCGCCAGCTACTACTACTCAGACGGCTCCCTCAAGATCGTCCCGGGTCACGCCGTCTGCCAGAACGGGGGCACCACTCCCTCGCCCACCACGAATGGCATTCCTGGCCAACCCTTGCAGTCTCCCCACCTCCACTCGCCCAACCGCATCAACCTGAGCAACATCCGCGGCTCATCTTCCAACGGCTACATCCGCCTCAATTTGGGCACCGAGGAGCGGCCGGACTACAGTGACTTGGCCGAGGAGCTGCGTCGGAAGTTGAAGCAGAGACAAGCTCTGCCCGACTCGAATCCCGAGGAGTCTTCAGTATGAGCTGCCCTGTGGACTTGTTGGACCAATTACTCAACTACCTCATCTCCTAGGCCAGGGTCGCAGCCCGTCGCCAAAACGACTCTTTTTAAGACAAAGACTCCGGACACTTTTGTAAGAGGCTTCCTCACATCCCCGATTTTGATACACACTGCCAAGAAGACCCCTTTCTCCTCACACCCTCCCGCCTTGTTCAGTGTTCTCCACTGTGCTTCCTTTTGGGGCTGTTCCGGGACTTTGTGAGTGGTGGTCTTCATTCCTTTCCTCTTGGATGTTGAGTTTGAGCCTCTTAGAGACTTGCCTTTGGCAGGGAGACCCCCTGAACCGAACCCACTGCCCTGTTTCTGATCCAGCCGCATGGGGATGGGGGTTGAAACGGTTGTGTGAAAAGCAAGCCGGAGCATCATTCCCCGTGGCATGGTTGCGTTCGGCTTCCTTGCCATGGTTGCCACGTTTCTCTCTTCTTCCTGGCTTGACTGCAAGAGTTGGACTCTGCAGTAGTGATTCTTCCCAAAAGGGTAGGGGACCCAGGAGGAGGGCAAATCAGCCCCTGTCCCAAAGTAGGACCACTTTGGGGGGAAGGGGACCTCAGAAAGGCAGGCGTCCTAAGGAGCCAGAGACCAGGTGTTCGTTGGGAAACTCAACCAAAGAGAAAGGGATAAGTTGGGGGCTGAGGAACACTCTTAGCCATAGCTTGGCCTCCTTTCTTACAGCCACGTTTAGAAGTGTGTAAAAGAGAGGCACACTCAACCCACCCAAGAGCTTTCCTTTTCCAGCAGCAGGTGAGACACCTTTGGGGTGTGTGTGAGAGGAACACTTGGTCCTGATGTCCTTCTGGAGATCTGAGGTCCCTAAAGTAGGAGGGAGGAGGTAAAACTTTCCAAGCAATTGTTCAGCAGTTTTAAAGAGGTGTCTCTTTGCCCCCCCTTAAACTCTCCTCGCATCTTCACCGAAACATAAAAGGCATCCCGATGTTTTGATCCCATCCCTTTTGGGGACTTCTTTGGACCACGTGCAAAGGAAGAGGTTGTCTGGGGCGATTCCAAGGAAGGCAAGCATTGGGGGAGTCAGTCCCACATGGCACACGCTCTGCTGGTGCCTTGCACATTCCCTTGGCAGAAAAGTGGTACAGGTAGGAGAATACACACACACACACACCCCTCCCTCCCAAAATGTGCCATCGGGGCTATTTTGTATCCTCTGCCCTGTCTCCTTCGTAGTGCCCCCTTTCCTGAGGGATGCACGCAACTACAAGAAATTTTATGGGTGCAATTTGCACACTCGGTCATGCCCGCAATGGTGTCCTGCCGACGGATTAAGGGAAACAAGTACCATCACATGTTCCATCCCACAAATTACATTCTCGGCATCCTTCAGTATCATAACACATGTGAAATTCTGTTCCTATCTCTGTGTGTGTGAGAGAGAGAGAAGCTGAGAGAGAGAGAAAGAGAGAGAGAGAGAGATGGAGAGAAAAGGACTTTCTCAACCCAAGGTGCTTCACTGGGTTAAGCAAAGACCTTTGCAGATGTCAGTCATCCAACTTGTGAATCGGTTGGTGGCCACCTTGGTTCGTTTTGGGACGATGTGCAAGCCTGGCATCCATTCGGTGAATTTAGGGTTCCCTGTATTGGGCGAATGTCCAGAATGTCATTGAAATCGGGGTTAAAAGGTATCGTGTGATTACAATCCGCGTCGGGAGAGTGAGAAAGAGAATTGTGCTTTCTCAGGAAAGGAACAGAACCGGATTCTTCTGCCCTCCCATTTTCCATAGGGAGCATGCAATTCCCTACATTCATTTCAAACCCCGCGTTGAAATCGTCTGCGTGGCCCATCATCCCCTTTCGTATCCCGCATGCTTTTCATTCCACCGTCACCGGATGTTCGTTTTCCTCCTTCCTGAAAACACTACTATGTACATAAAGGAACACACTCCCTTATTTCCCCAGCTGAGCTGACCCACCCTGAATTGTAATTTATTTGTTATTAAAATGTATTTATTTGACGAAAATGTACAAATATTTTTATACTAATAATAAAATGAAAAGAAGAAGACGAAATGGGGAGGAATAAAACCCAGGCTTGTCTTGCTCTGTTCCTGGTGGTTAACCTCCTTCCCAGTCACCCATAAGATTGCATTTAGACTTATATACAACTCTACAGGCCTCTCTAAGCAGTTTAACAGAGTCAGCCTGTTGCCTCCAACAATCTGGGTCCTCATTTTATCAACCTCGGAAGGACGGAAGGCTGAGTCAACTTTGAACCTGTGCCAATGAAACTGCTGACAGTCAGCAGAATTAACCTGCAATAATTGCATTCTAACCACTGTGCCACCACGGCTCTTAGATGCTGAATATTTATGCTGCTTTGGGGGCTACCTGTGCTCCACAGCTCCACCAGTTGAATTGGACCGGAAGGGGTAAAGTCAAAGCGGAGTTAATGGAGGGGAAGGAACTCTTATGGAGAGTGTCTATGGAGATTCTCAGTCACTGTTTGGGCAAATCGGTAGCTTAATGGGTAGCTAATTTTATGGCCAGTTTGGTGAACTGGCAAATCCCACCCCTGGCTGCCCCTGCCCATCCCTCCCCTCCCAGGAAGTCCCTACATGGCCCATTTTGGTCCCAGGTAAGTACAGAGCAGAGGCTGGGGGAGGGTGAAAAATGGGCCTCCCAGAAGGCCGGGAACAAGCCTGTTTCTGGCCTCCAGAGCCAGGGAGGCCATTTTTGCCCTCCTGGAGGCTTGAGGAAACCCCCCAGAGCCCGGGGAGGGCGAAAAACTGGATTCCCGGGAGTTCTGGAAGTTTCTGGCCTCCGGAGCCCGGGAAGGGCGAAAAATGGGCCTCCCAGAAGTTCTGGAAGTTTCCGGCCTCCAGAGGGCCTCCAGAGCCCAGGGAGGCTGCTTTCCCCCTCCTGGAGGCTTGAGGAAAGCTTGCAGAGACAGGAGAGGATGAAAACAGCACCCCCCCCCTGCCATGGTGCAGGAGGCCGACTAGGCCACACCCACCATGGCCACACCACCCAGCAACTGGGCAGAAAACTAGTTGCTAAAATTTTTGAAGTCCGCCCTTGTGTAATGACACCATCTACCTCCTGTTTACAATATTCCCTATCTCCAAGAAGCTCCTATAGCCATTCACACTCTGATTCAGATGACCCCGAGGGCACAGGTATAGCCACAGGAACTCTCAGGGAGAGCACTAATGACCAGATGACTGCAAAGAAATATAGTCTTTCTACCCCCCCCCCCCCCCCCATCCAGTCAACTGAAGAAGCTTAGACGAGAAGCGAAACTTCTTCTCAAGGGAAAAACACATAATTATTTGGCTTTTGACAAAGTGTCTTTGAGACTCCTGTCACCAAGGGTCTCTTGGTCTAAACTGCACCTTCTCAAAGACTTTTCAGTGGATAGGAAATAGCTCCCTTTGCTTTCCCCAGCAAGGATGAGAAAAGAGGAGACTCCCACCCAGTGGTGGTATGCTACCGGTTCAGACCGGTTTGGCAGAACTGGTAGTAAAAAGAAGCCGACGATCGGCTGAGGAGGAAAAAAAGCTGACATCAGCTGAGAGGAGGAAAAAAGCTGACGATCAGCTGAGAGGAGGAAAAAAGCTGAC